GAGGATTTTAATATCCGTTTTGAACGAGGTTGCCATTGTGGTACAATTCGCGTTAGAAAATGATCCCCATTAGTAGATCAATGCAACATGTGATGCAAATAAACGAAAATTCAGTTTAATCAGATTGATAATAAAAGGAAAAACAAATCTCACTTAGCGGCAAAACATGGATTGCTTCCGGATGCAACTAAAGACACCTGGGATAACGGGATAGAAACAATTTAAGATCACCTCGCATCCTTACTTGACTATCAGACCTATAAAGGGTTACCAAATAATGATATATAACTCTTCCTATTTTTTGCGACATGTCGCGCAGTGCCATTGCTTCTAGTAACATAGGGGACCATTTAAGCAAGATGCGGTTCCAAGATTATTAGTTCAATATATGAATACAGATAAGGGCTCAAACATTTCTTTCAGCAAGGTTCTATTAAACGCAAGATGATTATATCATGGAAAATAACTTTATAACTTTCGTCAAACGCAATGATGCTCTGAACTTACCTCCCGATTGGTAAAGCAGTACATAACTGCAACCATGAAACCTTGAAACATGTAGAAGAAAGACGCGATGTAAGTGAAAACTTGGAATAGGCCAATATTGTCCTTCGACGGAGTGAACGGTATCGTCTGCATGATGTTTGGTATGCCCAGTAATGGAATGAGCATAGCGGCTGCCCGTACACTTTTTCTAAACGTTGTTATTGTAATTACTTGTCTGTTCGGAGTAGCACATCTTCAAGGCAAACACAAGGAGAAGAATATGTACAATTAAGTAAACGATTATCAGCAGCCATAATAATAAACCGCGATCAGTCAATCATCTGTCCCTGCACTTGAACATCGAAGTTCTTGATGACTGCGTGCTTATGGTGTTAATATATGGACATGAAACATGAATTCTAAGCATGGAGTCTGTTCACAATCTGCATAGTGTGCAATTCGGAATAAAAAATGTATGTTGGGAATAACAAGAAAATAATAAAGGACGAACGAATAGACAAAAGCGCTGACAGAATTTTGCAAAGTTCTGCTGCATAACCTTTTTTGAATAGAAGAAAGACGAAATCTTCAATGCTTCTTGCGTATTCTTAAGCTTCATGTAGCTTGTAATTAGTCGACAGAGGCTTTCAACAAGGTCATTTCCCGTTGAGGTGAGATGTCGCCGTTTTATGCCATTCTTTTCAGGATATTGGCCACTCCGAGTATTCTTGAATGTCCACTCAACTTTGTCGCTGGGAACAGTTGGGGGGGGGGTAACATGCGTAGCTTCCGGTTTTCTTTTATTTTCGACAGTGCTATACGATTTTTGCTCCTCCTTTGTTTTTTTAATGTTCTCAGAGTCCGCTATTGAGGAGAATGCATTTTCATGCGGCCTTCAGGCTATTCTTGAACGTGATCTCTCTGAACTTTGTTCTTCCGTACTCCTCATGGTCTTCCGGATCTTTTCCGTATCTTGCACAACATCGATCAATTGCCCCTGACTTCATTCTGGCTCTTCTTGTCAAAAGCTGCCTCACTAAAAAGCTGGTAAGTTGTGTTCTCGTCGACATTGCCGCCTGGCTGAATGACCTCATGGTAGTTTTGATGACATCAATGTCTCTGATAAAGTCTATTGCGAGGTTGAGGCGAAGAAGCTAGAGTGCGAAAGCTTCAGGATCGAATATTCATTCAACAGCCTGTGGTCTTTGAGCCTTTCTGATCCGATGTTCCCTAGCAACACCGATTGTGACTATGAAGCAGAGTGATTGCGGCCCGACTTCGTGCAGACGATGTTTCCTCCAATGACAGACACATCTGTTATTACCGGCCTCGCATTGTCCGTCACCCAGTAGACATTTTAGTCGCTCTATTAGTGATCCTCTACCTGCACTACCGGCTTCTCGGCTTTTTCAAACATGGTATTAATGATGCAGAAACGTTTAAATTCAAGAAACGGTCGTTTCGCCCTGCACTTCCAAAACCGATGAGTGACGCACTCTCCCGGTGGTCTTCTTTCTTACCGTGTCTTTGTAATCTCATTAAACGATTGTGCATGTAGATGTGTTTTGCTTTGCGTTTCCATTAGCTCCCCCCGCCCCCGCCGCACTTTTTCATCGTCGTCTTGCTGCGTTGGGCGACGTAATCTTAACTTATCTTCAGTGATGTTTTGTCCAAGACGATTCCCTGGCCTTACGCGTCTCGACATGGTCCGAAATACTGATATCCCGAAGAGCCTTGGTATAAAGCCTTTGCTTCTCCAGATTCAGAAGTCACAGCTGTGACGGCTTGGGCATGTGTTGCGAATGCCTCCTGAAAAGAAGGCTAAGCAACTGTTCCTTACAAATCCGACCGGCAAAAGGCCCAGGGGACGGCCGAGATTAACCTGGTGCAAACATATGAAAGGAGTCTGTTCCAGACTCCATTTGTCTTTTGCCGAAGCTCGGACTCTGGCAGAGGATCGGGAACGTTGGAAGCACTGTCTGACGTGTCTGCCTCCGCGACCCGAAAGGAAAAGCGACGATGAGAGATGATAATGATGTTTTGTCAACCCCTGCAAAATTAGTACTATCACACTAGATGACATGAGGCCACAGCTAAAAAAAATAGGTGCTGTGTTCTTCTTTACAATGCGTACGACACCATCTGTCTAAGTCTGATCTTCGTACTCTTTTCCGAGGAATATTTGCTAATTGTGCGACATGTCTGAGGGACCTTCGGCTTTCGCCCACGCCGAAAACATCCGCTTTGATCCGCTCCAGTGGTGATGTAGATGTCGACAAGTGCATCTGTTGACAGAGTTCTCGAGTTATAGCCAGTCACGAAGATTTTGATGATATCCTTTTGCCGTTTGCCGACCATTACAAAGTAATAAGTAATCCCAGTTACTCGTTAACCACCGAAGTAACATGCACTTATGATTAAAATGATCCTCCATGCGTAACGTACTTTCTGCGAGCTTCATAGGCAGTTCATTCAGCGTGACAGTCTTCGAAATTTATAGCCCTCTCTGAAAGGGGGCGCTTGCTGAGCCCTTGGATGCGGGAGAAGCTCACTGATCATTGTCGAACCTCACCGCCTCATCCCACGAGAGAAGGATCTCTGTACCGTATCCAACTATCTCATCACGCAGAAATTCACACTGTAAGGGGTTAAAATGAAAGGTACAGAAAAGCACTGAAACCGGATGTTGAATCTCGTGTCGTAACAAACGAGCGCATGTGCTTGGCCGGCTATGAAATACTGAAGCAAATGTCTCATCCTTCAAGAATGACGGAGATTCATTGCCTCAAGTAAATGTCTAACAATGACTATCTAATCTTAAGAAAATCTGCTAGGATGAGCAAGTAACTTTCACTAGTTTCGCAAATCTTGTGAATATACACATGGTCAGACGTCTTCCCCAAATGACGGCATCAGATTGCACGATTTTGCTATTTGTCTTGCAACTAAATATGCCAATATTTTCGACTCTGTGCTTTGTGCTGAAGTTGTTGACATTTTGCCCATTTCTGATCGAGGACACCAAAACAGATGTCAGCACTTTATTGCCAAGCCATTTCTCTACGCATGCGGAGCATCTCATAGCACAACAGCTGTTGAAACAAAATGCTTTGTTTTTCACATATCCAATCATTTTTATGATATTTCTTAATGTAATAAATCAGGTGCTGAAGAGTCTATTTAGGCAGGCTTCGATGCGCTGCTAAAATCCAAATATAGTGAATTGCCACAGTTGTGGATGATATGCAGCACTAGTCGCATGATAGGGCATATCATGGGGGCATATAGTTCGTGTGAAAAAGTTAAAGGGCAGTTGTCTTTGCTAATGCCAAAGAAAGAATGATGAAAAGTTTTATCATCTCGTCTATCGTATAAACTGATAATCGTGACTCATCGGCAAGATCAACAAGAGGTAACGATCATGCTTGGTAGAGGATACTAGCAAACGGAGAGAAAGTTTGAATTACTTGGAGGGGCACTGACAGAAAAAATTGTATGCCCCTACACTGCCCTAACTCATGCACTCATGCCTTTAATCAACTAATCACGCTCGCAGATTCGACGGGTATTTTAGCAACGACCAGAGGAATGTCCTTCAGCCACGGTGCTGGCGAAGCCATCTGTTAATGGTCAGTCGATGTCGCGCTGAGTTCGTGTTTCTCAGGCGGCCATTGGTACAACCCTACGGTGAAACAGATGAACGCCGTCCGAATTTTGTATAAAAAACAGAGAACAAAGAGTGAAGATGTCACTGAGGATAAAACTTTGCCATTTTCTTAAACTATTAACTTTAGGATTCCTACGATGACTTACCATAAAATCAGAAGCGTTTTTCGAGCTAGGTAGTAGTACAGAAGTTAACCGAATCCCGCATATCTACTTTATAGACAGTGCTATCGAAGAGAGGCTCATCCTGAATACCAACGACGTGGAAGCCCATATGGTGGCCATGATTTCCTTCAAAAAGATGCATATGAGGATGCCTCTCAGAGTTTAAATTTGAAGAACAATTGTTGTCCAGAAGGAAACACGGCATAACGCTTTTGCCATGAAGCGTCTTAAAAGGGTCATGACTCAGATTCTGTGGAACAGAGAACAAAGTGAAGCATGGCGGTTAAGGAGATGAACATTACATCATTCGTACTATTAGATGATCAGACGTAGCTACTTTTCAAAAGCATTTAAATTCATATTGCCATTCTTCTGAATGGAGGATATATGAACTTACCTAAACATTAAGATACATGTCTCTCTTACTTAAGGTGTCTGGCTTCCATAGGAGACGCATTCTCTTTCACTTTAGACCACAGTATTCGTATGATGTTCAGCAGAAAGGCGAAATTCACC